GTCAAAGAGAGCAGATGCTTGGTAGGTCCGCTGATAACATTAACTTCCATTCAGTTTTGTTTGACTGATTCACCGTAATCACCGAGAGAGGGCCACCTTGCACACACGAGTTCTATTCGGTAACAGTATATATACAATTTTAATGTATACAGATGGTAGCAAGCTTTGGGATGGTGTATTTTTAAGAGATAATGCTAGAGGGGTAAAAAAAATAAAGGAAAATCATATATTTTTTAAATATTAGGCTATTTTTTATTATTATTTTAATAAACAAGAACGCCAGCTATTGTTCTGTTGTGAATGCGTTTGTTTCCTTTAACACTGGCACACAAGAAGACTATTAATGTTAAGAGGTCCAAATACTTGTGGTGTACTTTTGTATTTGTGTATATGATGTTTACCCCCAAAACATCATATGTTCCGTCATACAACGTTCTTCAGCCAATCACCTTGTAACGTTTCGACTAATCTGTGATGCGCTATTTTTTCTGTTTTAAAAAAAGGCTAAAAAATAAGACGGAGATTTCGGACACACTACTTCCATTTTTTCCATCTATGTGATCCTCCTCAAAGGGGACCAACAACAGTCTATAAATGATTCACAGTTCAAAAAAGGGTTGCCTTTTAATAGACACTTGGTCACGTGAGTGGGGCGCATAATATGGTTGCGATATTATGATGAAGGGGGTGGATGGCATGCGAACCCCGGTCTGCTGCTGTGCTGATAGCGCTAGCCTACTTCACTAAAGTGGGGTTGGGTCATTGTGGACTTGCTGAAAAGCGGGAGAGATAGGGAGAGAAAAAAATGTGAAAGACCCTGGTACGTTTTGCAGATGATGTTAAACAGCTGTCATGAACGGATATGTTTTTCTACACAGAAAAAGACAGAAAACCCTGCGAACCATGAGGATGGATTTTATTTTGAGGTATTTCCGCTGATTGTTCATTACACTAGTGAGTTTTTCGGCTCTAAGAGAAGGTCAGTTACCGTAGAATGGCGGATGAACACACGGGAGAGTCGAATTTAAGAACATTAATAAACTAAACTTGAAGCATATTCGTCAATCAACTTTTATTCATCACTTAACAGGCACTGAAACAACCATTACACACGTAAATGTAAATGTTACTTAAACGCTAAAGCAACACTTTACAAAACTAATATTGTTTTACAAAAATTAAAGAAACTTAGATTGCATTTTTGTATAGGTGTTTTTCGTGATATAAATCAGAATGCATCCGCAAAACCGGAGGAACAAAAGCTGAATGTTTATGATCAAGACCTAATTTGTATTAAATAAAATATAATGTAAAATAAATGTAAATAAAAATAAGAAATACAATTAAAATGCCTTTAAACAAAGTAATTGTACATGATAATACAGAGCAATTTATGGACTTTATAGTCTACATTTCATCTGGTTTTTAAGAACATTTCATACTGTTGCAGGCCAAAAACATTTTCTCTCGCACCAATATGACTCAATATATGGGCATATATATATATATATATATATATATATATATATATATATATATATATATATATATATATATATATATATATATATATGTGTGTGTGTGTGTGTGTGTATAAATTAAACTATTTTTGTTTATTCTAACATTATTTTGATTAAATGTGTAAATGATTAATGATGATGTCTTGTATAGACTCAAATTGGTAACACTTATGTGTGGCTGAAGCCCTCTAAGTTGTAAAGGGTGTGTAAACTGGGTTTTCCCAGAAAGAATAAATCACAAGACAGCGAATAAAACGCAACAGAGCAGTGGCGGCCCGTTTGTTGCGGAGGCTCGCATGGGAAACGAGGATATAATATAAGGAGTATCATCCAGAAGCACGCTGCCGCACGAGGTCACGACTCTCCAGTCTTGATTTATGGGCTGGGGGACTTAGGGCGGCCGCTGCTTGAGAGCTAATGACCGTTCGATCTAAATTCTCTAGAAAGGAAACAAAATGGAGGAAAACTCGATAAATTTGCCCGAGTGTTTTATTCCTTATGATATTCCTGATGATACATTCTTATTTTCACACATGCGCCAATATTTTTTTTATCTTTAACTGTAAAAATACATCAATTACTTTGATTTATTTGTGCTGTTATTGTTAGGGTTCCCTCACCTATTAATTATTATATGCATTAGACCTATTAGTAGTATAATTAATTACATAAGCAAAGCAAAGAGTCGTAAGTAAAATATTTTAATATTGATATTTCTCTAAAGCCTGGGTTAAGTAGATGTCGAGCTTTCGTCTATTGTTTATGTTAATAATCGTTTATACATTCGTTAAGCTTGTACATTATACCAAGGTCGTTTTCAGTAGGCTAATACATTATTATTATTATTATTATTGATGTCAGTTTATTACTGTGCTGGTGTTAGATACAAGTTGGAGTTCAAATAAGAAACCATTCGTAATGAGCGCAATGGTTTTCAATGAAAACAGTGTAACCCATTTGTAATAAAAACAAAAGGAAAGCTATTTGATGTGGTAACTTGTTTTAAATTAAATACACATTTAAAATAAAAATACATAAATGAGTGACAAACATACAGAAGTGTGTTTATTTTTATTTAGAGTTTTCATTGTTCAGTTAAGAGACACTGACATTAATTACTGTCTACTGTCTACATTCCTCCTGGCTGTTGAGACAAAAAATGAATAATTAATACTTTTATTTCTTGCCGTAGATCTCCAAATAAATGAATGTGCCCCATCACTAAGCCTACGAGAGACTGTGTTTTGCTTAAGGTGAGCTTTTTATTACATTACACAACTGCCATGCCTTGCTATATGTTTACTATCATTAAATTTATTCCATTTATTCAAAGGCACACACAGAGACACACACACACACACACACACACTTAGGCTATACTGAAAATGGAAGACCCATAATTTCTTCCTTTTCACAGCACACACAGAGACACACACACACACACACTTAGGCTATACTGAAAACTGAAGACCCATAATTTCTTCCTTTTCACGTTTCTGAGGTGCAATTTGTCATTATGAAGGGGTCTGGTGTATCAACGATCAGGAGCTAACGTGAGAAATGTCTTGTAACGGTTTTAGGCGGTTTAACATAGATTAATTGCAGATTAATTCTTATTGTACTATAAAAAAGTTAAATTGCAGTGAATTCAGCTCTATATGCTGTTTGGAATGTTTTACGAAAATTACTGATCAACGTTCCACCTAGCATTTTCCGCGCCATTAATGAAATCTCTTAGTCATCGTTTTAATGAAAGAAAAAAGGAAACAATTGCGTAAATGTCCAAAATGCTGAAATTGTCGAAAAAATCGCATACACAAGGATTTTTAAAATCCCACTCATCAACCCACGCCGCCCGCTCTTTTCACTTTAGCTTTGGTAATCTGTAATCCAGTGGGCAGCGCGAGAACAGGAATCTGCCTCTGTGTTTACTGCTGTGCTGCGTAAGGACATAAATCTTCTTGTTTGACCGAGAAAATACACAAGCTGATGCTGGTAATTCATTCGTATGCATAAGTGTTTGATCCATAACCTCCCGTCCTCAGCTCGCTGCTCACTTTTTTTTCTTCCTGCTACTTTAGAGGTCCGGGAGTTTTATAACCTTTTTCTGTGTAGCGAAAAAGCATCCTTAGCTTTTATTGACGATTGTCCTTGGCTCAGGTTTTATGTCCAATTATTTTTTAAATGGATGGAATTTATTGAAATGTTACAGTACATTATTATTATTAATATTATTATTGTTGTTGTTATTAGAATAGACCTTGTTTATATTGTTATTGCTGCGAGTAATAATCTTCTAAAATATCTGTAATTAATGCAAGTAATTCAGTCATTTCAAGCCAGTAGTATCTTTATTTCAGTTTTGAATTGTTTAATAGCAGTCAAGTTTATATTTGTTTGACACATAACTTCTAACAAATAGGCCTACTTTAGCGTAATCTTCAAGTTATAGATTTTATAAAGTTGTATGTATATGGTCCTGACTATTCAAAGGGGAAAACTGCTTTCTGTGCTTGAGAAGGCGCTTCATTTGCATAATTTTTCTTGTCTACGGTGACGCTCTGTTTCGAGGGAGTTCACTAGGGTGTGCATGAGTATGTGTTAACGTAGCCTACTAGTTTGTGCACGTTAGTGATACACGAAAGACTCACTAGAGCGCAGCCCATGGTGGCATTTAGTATAGGTCCGAGAACACAGGCGTTCATTTAGTAGAATGCATTATGTATGTATGTGTGAAGGTACTTAATCTTTACTGCCAGGGCGCACGAGACAACTTTCGTTATTTGGCTGTTATACTGATCTGCGTCGAAAAAGAAAAAGACAGAAGGAAGGAACTTAAGTCCTCGAGCACTACTGAGTCGCTGCTTTACTGCAGATACGTTCCACGACTTCTGCAAGTGCAGCTCTGGCTTTGTTGTCTTTCCGATTTAGCTTTACCCTGGACCGCTGTTTGATCGATTTCTGCCGCTGAATGAGAGAAGATCGCGCCGTGCTGCGCGCTGCTCGTCAGAGAGAAAGGTAAGCGGGACAGAGTTCTCGCATGGCTGTTAAATGGCGAGTTTGTGATTTATGACCGCGCGACTGAAATCTCGGTTCAGGGAGAGTTCATACTCGCACATACACACACACACTCACTCACAGTCAAGCCAGATTCCTCCCGTGCAGCAGCTGGGTCTCCTGCTTTGTGGCTTTAGCGTCTTTTCTTTTAGCTTTCCATGTGTATGATAGTGCCAGAGAGCGAATTAGTGTAAAACAAGCATGGATCGGTCGTCTTGAAATTGAAGAGGCCTCTTGGTCTCAGTATGTTATTTGGGCCTGATTTTACATCTATTGATTGTAAATGTTTTTTAATGATTTTTATGATCTTGAAATTATTTTTATTGAGCCGATTAGTAGTTAATCAGTATATTATTATTATCTTTGTTGTTTGTTGTTATTATTAACGATGTTATTAGCCTACTGAAATTGCTTTCCCGTCGAGCCAATGTTCTTCTACGAAGGTGTCAGGACCTTGTCAGAAAGTGAAATAAACATTGGGAAACGGCGAGATGCAAAAAGCGACCTATTGCGACGGCTCGACAATTTACAGTGGCTTCCACTATCAAAGCACAAACGGTTTAGGTTATGATGCCAATCAGGAGCAATATCTCCAGGCCCTTCATGTGGAAAGTGAGTACCATCGACCGGCCTGCTCCCTGCAGTCCCCTGGTGGTTCTGCAGCTCTGCACGAACCCAATGAAATCTCAGAGGGCTGCCAACGGAGTAAAGGGACACAAGCCCCAGTACCAGATCTCCCCGACAACAACCAGCCCCCTACTGACCCTTCCGGACCATCTTCCCCCAGTGCCCTGAACCAAATTCTGAGCAATGATACCACCGCCAAGAGCCCAGGGCACGCATCTCCAACGCCAACCACAAGGAAACACATTTTTCCATGGATGAAGGATTCCCGTCAGAACACAAAGCAGAAATCTTGTAGTACCATTTCAGGTGATTACATAAACCACATTATAGCACCTTAAATTAAATAGCCTAAATATATACATGTTTATAAAATAATATATAAATGAATACGGGCAATAACGTGTAATTTTAGCTAGCCTATGGAGTAAGTATTCACATGGAGTTAGTATTCTTTTTTTTTTCTTTCTTTTTTTTTAAACATGATTTGCAGTGTGTAGTCACCTTGGTAAAAAGAGTCTGCTAAAAACCTAAATGTTCAAAAATATATATAGGCTACATGGAATTTATAATTTATATCACCTTTCCATTGGCTCTTTAGTGTCTTGTTTAGTTATGATACATTGAACCACATGTAAACCACACCTATAGGATAGTGCTTTTTGAGGTAATTGGACAGGTTTGATGTTTAAATTCTGAGCTTAGCAAAGGCTGTGTGCACTGATGACACCCCAACACATACCCCTGTCTGTAAAAAATTATATGACCAATAAGTTGACAGTGTTTTTACATTACTTTAACTCATCAAAATATTATATTGGTAATTGGTAAAATATTATGGAACCGCTGGACAGGTTTGATGTTTAAATTCTGAGCTTAGCAAAGGCTGTGTGCACTGATGACACCCCAACACATACCCCTGTCTGTAAAAAATTATATGACCAATAAGTTGACAATGTGTTTTTACATTACTTTAACTCATCAAAATATTATATTGGTAATTGGTAAAATATTATGGAACCGGAAACTCAAAGTACTGGAAAAATAATACAGTCATAATATAGTTATGGAAAAACTGTACAGTTGGCTAGTGACTGCATCCTCCCTCTGCCCTACTTCCAGAACAGACTATGCCACTTTTCTCTACCTAGATTTGTTTAACCTATACTGAGAATAAGTAAGCTGTTTTGGTTTTGAAATAGTCATAATGTGCTTGGTTTACCAGTGATTGCCTGATATTATTACCCTTCAACCCTTAAAATGTATAGAACATATGCTGTTGTACCAGCAGGGGTTTGAGTGATTTAGTTTTTTAAACAACAGCAAAAGCAATGGATGATGAATATTATACAGTGAGGTCTATGGGACATGCGCATTAACGCTTTTTGTTGTATTTCTTGTCCTCATACAGTAGAGAGCTGCGCTGGAGACAAGAGTCCCCCCGGTTCTGCTGCCTCCAAGCGCGCTCGTACTGCATACACTTCTGCTCAACTCGTAGAACTGGAGAAAGAATTCCACTTCAACCGTTACCTCTGCCGCCCGCGACGAGTGGAAATGGCTAATCTGCTCAATTTGACGGAAAGGCAGATTAAAATATGGTTCCAGAATCGCAGGATGAAGTACAAAAAGGACCAGAAGGGGCTAGGAATGATGCCCTCTCCTGGAGCTCAGTCTCCTCACAGTCCCGTAGCTCTGTCATCCGGTGGCGGAGGAGGGGGTGGGAGTGCATATTTAAGTTCAATGCATTCTCTGGTTAACAGCGTGCCCTACGATTCACCCTCTCCAGCATCCTATAACAAACTCCAGCCTAATGCATGCAACCTTCCTACGTCATACCCACCTTCTCTGAATAACTGCCCGCCTCCTCAGAAGCGGTATCCAGGGACTGGCACAGCCACGCCGGATTACGACACGCATCATCTTCAAGGCAACAACAATTACGGGACACAAGTGCAGGGTAGCCCGGTTTATGTCAGTGGTGGTGGAGGCTACTCGGATTCTTTGGTGGGGATGGGGGCCTCGGTATTTGGCCTGACACATCTACCGCACCCACCTCAAGGCAATATAGACTACAACGGCGCTATCACCATGGGAAACAGCCATCAGCAAGGAACGTGCCAACCAAACCCATGCACATTCACAGAACTTACACCGCACTATTCTCAGGGAAGAATTCAGGTAGCACCCAAACTGACGCATCTATAGTGCCGATGCCATGTATTTCTCTCCCAGTCCACGGCACACATTTGCGCTCCGTCTGACTGCATTTTGGTTCATATAGTTTTCCTGACATAGCCTCAGGTGAAACAACCTTGTTGTTAGTTTTACTTAATACATAAAAAGGAAATTAAAGTTCCTCAAAGCTCAAATGTCATGGCATCATGGGAATATGTAGGCCTATTTATATTGTTGAAGGAAATCTGAAACAGGGTATGGGAACACATATTAGAACACAGTTTTATGATTTTTTTTTAACGTGAATTTTAAAGTCTTCAAAATTCCTCTCAGTCCACGATTTAATTTCTGTTTTGCATTTTGCACTTGAGGAAGGATGCATATGAACACGATTTCTTATTCAACAGTCTTATACAGCGTGAGCTCGTATTTTTTAGGTCTTTCAAATGTATTTATTTGTTTCCATGGACAGTAAATTGTGTTAGCCCAAATCCTTAAGATAATGGGTAAAAGGAAATCAGATCCTGCGACTCTCCCATGTCAGTGCTGAAACAAGTGCTAACAGGCAGATTATCAAAGGTTGATGTGTTCAAATATTAATCAATGTGTGCGAATGTTAATCATGTGTTGCTTAGAGTCGAAAGAGACAGCGATCAGATACTCATACTTTTTATTTGTTCGAACTTTTTTTTTAATGTCATACATTCCATGCTGCTCCACTTCTGAAGAAATAAAAGACACTAATTGACTTCTGTATTTGCCTTCATAAAAGAGGGGTTATACAACAAAAGCATCAGAAAATTAGCAATATAATAAGCAGATCATTTGCTCAGTGCACGTCACTGTTTGGTTCAAATTAAGCAAAATTAAAATAAATTATATATTAATAAAATGACTGAAAGGCATTTGGAAATAGGAGAAACATCCTAATACTGAATCTACTGAGTATGAGTGGTACATCGTCATTTCCGGCGGTCTTGCAGTTTGTGAAAATTGCAAGAAATCCCATCCATTGTCGTGACAGTCTCCTACAGGCCTCCAGCAGTGCCTGTGGGAGAAAAAAAGTCTTAAATGCTTAAGCCCAGCCCTCGTTTAGAACAACAACAGTGCAATGTATAAAAGACAGATGCAACATAAGCAGCAGAAAGCGAGAAAGAGAGAAATGCACATCACATCACACACACAAACACTTACACACACACACAACATATCTACGTAAAATTATCTGAAACAACTTGTCATTTGAGTCCAAATGGTCAATGGTCATTAGTAATAGTACTCGAGATTGACATATAATTCTTCACATTTTAAGTCTAAATTTAGAGACCCATTCTTTAATATCAATAATGTTGTTTCATAATTGTACTTCACACGAAATTACATTAAATTAAATGACTAACAGCTTTGTTGTGTAGTACACTGGTTAAAAAGTAAATTGCTAGTAAAAAAAAAAAACGACAACTATAGTTTCAAACAAAAATGCCCTTCACTAGCCTATATTTAGCCTATCAAATTACATTACTGTCAGTCTTAATGTTATAAATAAATGCAATATACTTGTACCTTGTAGTTCCCTGTAATAATGCCTTAATTCTATAGAAGGATATACCCTTAAATAATGGCATAAGGTTAGCAGGAGCTTGCGCGAGACAAAGTTAATAAATTTAGGACATGTTAACCCAAGATGTGGTTATGGAAAAAAACGGTCATGTTTTCACCGACTTGCAAGTGCCACCTCCCACATATAACCACTTTTCTTGACGACTCCAGAACCCTAATGTGCTGTTATCACAACGACATTAGCGTGTCCTTTCATTTATCAAATTATGCAATATGAAAGAAACTACTTACTCATCGATAGCAAATTAGGCCAACTGCTCCTTGAAAGTTTATGTCTGTAAATGTACATCTTAAAATGGCCACTTTAAACCTGTTTATGATCGAGAGAAACGGGCAAATCTCTCTAATGGAGCCTTTTCCAGCCTCTCGTTCTACCAGGATTTGATCTGCGTAGAGTAAAAAGGTTTAAATGTGTTGTGGGGGCATGAGGCTGTCAAACCTTTTGGCAAGTAAGATTGATCACGCGCATGCTTCTAGAACTATTTGTTTAGTATATAAGCACTGAAACTACAAACGACAAAAGTACTAGTTTCGTTTACGTTTAACACAGGCTATTTCCGCATAATCCGCAAACCGGCAAAAAAATTCAAATGTTAGCATAGAAAGTCCCCTCCTTGTGTAGAATAAAACAAAACGTAACAAATTACTTTTAGTTTAATCTTAAAGGGATAGTTCACCCAAAAAATAAAATTCTGTCATTAATTACTCACCTCATTGTTCCAAACCCGTAAGACCTTCGTTCATCTTCGGGAACACAAATTAAGATATTTTTGATGAAATGTGAGAGCTCTCAGACCCCGCATAGACAGCAACGCAACTGTAATGTTCCCAGGTCCAGAAACATAGTAAGGACATCGGTAAAACAGTCCATGTGACAACAGTGGCTCAACTTTCGAGAATACTTTTTGAGCGCAAAGAAAACAAAAATAACAATTTATTCAATTCGTCTCCCCCGAGTTACGTCTTCCGCCATTTTAGAGAGTATCACAACGCATACGCACACTTTCCCCTAAGCGTAAACAATGCCACTGATGTCACATGGACTGTTTTGCCGATGTCCTTACTATGTTTCTGGACCTGGGAACATTACAGTTGCGTTGCTGTCTATGCGGGGTCTGAGAGCTCTCACGTGTAATCAAAAATATCTTAATTCGTGTTCCCGAAGATGAACGAAGGTCTTGCGGGTTTGGAACGACATGAGGGTGAGTACTTAATAACAGAATTTTCATTTTGGGGTGAACTAACCCTTTAATCTAAAAGATCTATATTGAATGTCAGTTGCTTTGTTTCAGAAAATAACTTCACTTATGTTTACATTTTACATTCATTGATTTATCCAAAGCGATTTACCAACTGAAACATCATGAAGCAATTTGTCACAGAGCCAACAACATTCATAGTAGACTTCACAATGCCAGGTTTAGTAGAATCTATATTAGGAAACAAGCTAGAGTACAGGTAAAGTGTTATGTGATATTAACAAGCTATAAAACAAAGGTAGGCCTAAAGTTCTATGTGATATTAAGATTTTTAGTACTTACGCTAATCCTCACTGTTCAAACATTGCGGGTATGCTTGGTAAAGCTTCCAGTTGAAAACATCTGGTATCAAGAAGCGTTTTACTTCAAATATTTACTGACAAAGACGTAGATCCCCATCGAAGAGAGAGCTAGCGAGCGAGAGTATCCTTCATAGTTTAATATAGGCTACAGACTTTGAATGTTCATTTTATCTTGCGCGTTATTTTGTAAATTATGTTTAATAGGGCTTGATAGAATAATAATGTATTTATATTTCATCGCGATTATCTACTATCGTTGATGACCTTATAAAATGTTCTGTAAGTGGGTTTGTTTTATGGAGCTGTTCGTTTTTGTCTAACCAATGTATCTTAAGAATTGATAGGCGGAACATTAATAGATTTGCGTGTGGGGGAGGGGATATGTGATTTCAATGTATTTATGTGCCATATTAATTGTACAATAAGCTGGGCTGAAACAACTGTCTTTTCAGGCCAAATGAGAAAAAAAACTTCTGTCAGTAGCAGGCGTAACTTATTTGGCAAATGTACTGGAGGAAGACTGATTCCCTCACATTATTTATGAAACCAATACACAGAGAGAATGGACGTGCCTGTGCAGTAGGGGCAAAAGGGGGGTTCTACTTCTAATATGCACGTTTTTAGATTGACTATGAAGCTTCAGAGCCACTGCCTTTAGCGAACACAATGACACCGATGTACATAACAGCAGTGACCTCCCTCTTAAGAGAGGAGTTGCTCGAGGAAGTTCTACGGATCGATCTGTCAAGCTGGATCCTTTTGAATAAACCCCAAATTGCCATTGGGTAAAGGTAATCATGTGACATCTGAGTCTCCTAAATGCAATATTATCGATAGTAATCTATCCACACACAGGCATAATTAGTTATTATAAAATAATTTTAATGCAATTTTTTACATTAAATTGTTTACATTTTCTCCACATGGCCTGCTTATTTTAATAGAGAGAGAAAACTCTTAGACTTAAACGAAGCCAAACTTTCCATGCCCGCGCTCTCGGGGCGTGGGACAACAGGTTTGCAATGAATTACGAGTTTGAGCGTGAGACGGGTTTCATCAATAGTCAGCCATCGCTCGCGGAGTGCCTTACTTCTTTCCCCCCTGTTGACGACTTATTTCAGAAGTCATCAATCAAAAGCTCAGCGCGCACGAACCTTCACCCTCTTGTCCTACCTCCTTTCGAGCACACCATCCCAAGCTTGAGTCTCGGAACTCATTCACGCCATGCAGGGCCCCGGCAAAGCTTAGATGGGGGAAGCCCACTACAAGCCAATTCTCTGACCCCGGAATACACGTGGATGCGCGAAAAGAAGACCAACAAGAGAAACTGTCCTCTTATACCAACCGGCTCCTTGACTCCTACAGCGGGAGTCATTTGCTTCTCTCCAAAAGGTGAGTTGGGAAAACCTAAGCGAAGAGAGATGGGGAGAATTAAGGTCATTAAAGGTCTGAGAGAAATAATGAGCATCGCCATACATCTGCACTATCATCTCCACGCTATTTGCCTCATATTATACTAATTTACGACTTAAATGTTTGACTCTCTAGCTTAATTCAAATCAGTAAGGTCTTTATGATGTCTGACGTGTAATGAAGAATGATAGATTACTGTTGTGGTGCAAGGGGCCGCTCGGGCATTCATTAGAAGATGGTAGTCGGTACCACGCACACACTGGTGATGCAGTTCGCGGTCTACGTTTTTTTTTTTTTTTTTTACTATACTTTTTAGTTAAACAGTTTGTGTTATCACATTTTACAGTTAAGTTTATATTAACGTTGCGATAGACAAATAGGTGTTGCCATCTCGCATATGTTTGACTAAGCTACATAATAAGTGTTCGTGTGTTCCTTTGTGGACTAATTTTTTCAGGCTCACCCGAGCTTCCCGAGGGCGGTTTGTCTAGTGGAGAAGGAGGTTCACGCCGACTGAGAACAGCATACACAAACACACAGCTTTTAGAGCTAGAGAAGGAGTTCCACTACAACAAATACCTTTGCCGACCGCGCCGTGTGGAAATAGCCGCGCTTCTCGACCTTACAGAACGCCAGGTCAAAGTGTGGTTCCAGAACCGACGGATGAAGCATAAACGCCAGACCCAGATTAAAGACATCCACGGGGAGCTAAGCAAGACAACTGTCGGCGAGGATAATGGTGCACAGAGCGACAAGGACGCTTCGATTTGTGACCTGAGTCATGGTAGATTAGATAGAGAGTCGAACTCTTTTCAAAACGACCTGTCAACAGTCTCTGGGCAGTCCTGTAATGATAACGACATGCAAACTTTTGATATGTTTTCTAACAGCTTTATGAAAAGAAGTCTAAAATATGTTTTCAGTCAGTCACCTACTGCTCTGGGCAAGGGGACAATAATATGCAATAGTAACCGATGTGCCAGTCGGCTCGCCAGTCCGGACAATTGCGGTTCCCCGCATGTTATGGACATGTCTGTGCAGGATTTAAACTTTTTTTCGACTGACTCATTTCTGTCTGATGCAGCTTCGCCAGCACTGTACACGTCTCTGGAAAGCCCAGATGATGTATCAACAGACTTTTATTTCTTTAAGGA